CTATCTATCTATCTATCTATCTATCTATCTATCTATCTATCTATCTATCTATCCGTCTGTCTGTCTATCATCTATCCATCATCTATAGGTCTAATCTATCATGTCTATCTATCATCTATCTATCTACTATCTATCTATCTATCTATCTATCTATCTATCTATCTATCTATCTATCTATCTATCTATCTATCTATCTATCTATCTATGTAATCTATCTATCTATCTATCTATCTATCATCTATCTATATCTACTTCTCTCTCATCTATCTATCTATCTATCTATCTATCTATCTATCTATCTATCTATCTATCTGTCAATCTATCTATATAATCTATCTATCTATCTATCCATCCATCCATCCATCCATCCATCCATCCATCCATCCATCCATCTATCTATCTATCTATCTATCTATCTATCTATCTATCTATCTATCTATCTATCTATCTATCTATAACACAACCAAGACAACCGGTTCTGTGTCATTGGCAAGAGAACCGTGCCTTTTAAGTCACCAGGAGTCTTCAGCTCAAAGGAGACTTCCCTGTCACCCTAGAGTCCCTTCACTAAGGAGTCCTGGGTGCTCTCTAACCTGGTTGTTTTCTTGCAAACGTTTCATGACCCCAACTAGGTAACGTCATCAGTGCTAGTAAGGACGCCTTACTAGCACTGATGACGTTACCTAGTTAGCATTATGACACGTTTGGCAGAAAACCATCAAGCTCAGAGAGCACCAAGGACCTCTCATTTCAACCATGACCTACAAATATTCTTTCACCGAACCATGGAGAACCAGAGTAGAGTTCTCCAAACTTGGCGACTTTAAGACTTGTGGACTTCAACTCATGCTGGCTGGGGAAATTCTGGAGCTGAAGTCCATAAGTCTTAAATTTGCCAACTTTGGAGAACCCTGCTCTGGAACAAAGGTAATGTCAACACCGTGACAATGGATGTCCTCGCTCTGACAGCTGAGAACCAGCAGCCATTTTTAGTTTTGCTTTTAATGTGCCTTTCTATTCTTTTAGAGTTCAGATGTAGAAGGGGGGGATGGGGTAAATGCCTGAGGGTTTAGCTAGCCATAACAATGTAGAAGTGTGGGAACTCAAGGACGTGTTCTGATGAGGTTTTGGAAAGGCTAAGAGGCCGGAGAGGAAAGCCCGTGTCTTGCGTTAATTGGGGAATGTGATTTATCACCGCTCTTGTGGGGTGGGAATTGCAATTTGTTGCTTTGTATCTGGGAGGAGGGAATCTCATTCTTGGCTTCAACTATGTAAGTGCCGATACTTGGTTTCCTAAATAAAATGTTATTGAAGGATGAATTCTTGCCTTGATGTTCTTTTACTTGTTTCATTTATCGGAACCATGACAGGTAATTTGTGTCAACGCTGCTAACATCGGATGTTTTGCTTTGACAAGAGTTAGATGATGCTGGGGGGCGGGGAGGCAGGAAGGAATGTGCATGAGAGTTTAGATAGACATAATAATACTGGACCTAGTGTGTGAACCAAGGTTACTGAAATAAGAGGCGATAAGAATTGGCGGGCTGGAGAACTGGAGGGAGAGCCTGCGTTTCAAGCTAATTGGAGAATGTGATTTATGACTGTTAACTGGAGGAGGGAATTGTGCTTTGACACTATGTGCTCAGGGGAGGGGAATCCAGTTTTTGGCTTGGACCATGCCATGCTTCTCAAATAAAGATTCTTTAAGGTAAACAATGCCTTGAAGTTAATAATAATGATGATGATGTTGTTGATGATGATGATGATGATGATGATGATGATGATGATGATAAAGTTGGAAGGGACCTTGGAGGTCTTCTAGTCCAACCCCCTGCTCAGGCAGGAAACCCTATACCATTTCAGACAAATGGCTATCCAGTTTCTTCTTAAAAACTTCCAGTGTTGGAGCATTCACCACTTCTGGAGGCAGGTTGTTCCACTGGTTAATTGTTCTAACTGTCAGGAAGTTTCTCCTTAGTTCTAGGTTGCTTCTTGTCCTGCCTTCAGGCGCTTTGGAGAACAGCTTGACTCCCTCTTCTTTGGGGCAACCCCTGAGATATTGGAACACCGCTATCGTGTCCCCCCTCGTCCTTCTCTTCATTAAACTAGACATACCCAATTCCAGCAACCGTTCCTTATATGTTTTAGCCTCCAGTCCCCTAATCATCTTTGTTGCTCTTCTCTGTACTCTTTCTAGACTCTCAGCATCTTTTTTACATTCTGGTGACCAAAACTGGAGTTCTTTGAAGAGTTTCATCTGTCGTAACCATGACAACTTGTATACTCTATAACTTCTAGGCTTAACCTCTAGGCTTGGGGAAGTAATGTTTTGATATCCAGGTAAATGTTTCATATGCAAAAGGAGATAGACAGAGGCATAGCTATTAAGCTATCGATCCATCCTACCTGTCTCCGTGGACTTTCACACCATCGTACCTGTATTATCATGGCCAATCTTAATCTTCTTCAGATCTCCCAGGTCCACACATTCCACTGTAAAGACGTCAACTTTATCTCGCTCAAATTTGTTCCGGTTCGTCTTAGAAGCCTTCAAGTAGATTGTTCCTGTTTGTGTTTAAATCACAGATTCTCGTTGTTACAAATGAAAATAACTTGGAACGGGGCTAGTAATACCACATTTGGGCATCTACAAAGGAGCTGTCCATTTAGGGCCTGTCCAGATTGCTGTCTGTTACCTTAGAGCAGGAGTCCCCAACCTGCGGGCCACGGCCTGCTACCAGGTCACGGCCTGCTAGCCACTGGATCACGGCAAGAGGATCA